TATATATGGATATGTATTTGACTAATAAGTTATGACTTTAGTGAAAAACCCTCCACTTTTGTCAATCATGGGTAATTTCTGAGGGCTATACAGGTGGCATTACTGGGGTTTCAATTCTGCCTTTGCCAACTGAAAGACTGAAGCCACAGGTGTAATGGAAATAAGTGACTCTGAGTGGGTCAGAAGCCCAGTTTCAGCTGCTCATTCAGTGACCAATTGACAAAAAATTTACTTCATTAAACCACAGGTTTCACATCAGTAAAATGTGGATGATGATTCTTGATCTGCCGACCTCCCCAGGCTAATGAGAGATTTAAATATGATTATAGTTGTGTGCTTGTGTTACAAGTTGTAAGCTATGGCATTAATTTATGACATGATAATTATTACTGATTTCTCTCCACCCCACCCTTCATATCTTTTATCCAGAAAAGGTCAACATCTCCAAGGAGCCCAGCCTTCCCTGACTCTCCTCTTCCTTTTCATTCTCTTTCTGTGCATAGCATTTCTTAGCATTCTTGTCCACCTCACCTACAATTTTCAGGATTCTCCATGTGGGAGTGGGAAATAATAAGAAGGGGCCAATGTTAATCTTGAATCAAAGCAACTCTCTAGTTGTGTTTTGATTTTCAGCCCTGGAGATTTGTGCATTTGCATGAACTTAACATTCATATGCAGAATGCTTATTTGAATATAAACACAAGCACACTCACATATAACATGGACTTATACAAACACACAAATCAAGCAAATCAGAAACTAACTCAAAGATTTGTATATAAGTAATCATGCACAAAGACAAACACAGAGAGCGTATATCAAGTGGCTGTAAACATTTACACCAAATGCATGTATACTTCATGCAGTATGATCACCTTCCCTTCCTTATTCACAAAGACACAACGACTCTCATGTACACACAGACACCGACTGACACACAGAGACATGTACACAAATGCATACATTCACTTTCACTAGCTTCCCGGGCATGTAAACATACCAAGCATGTTCAGTAATGCCAGTCATGCTCAAACCAAAATGCACACTGAAACACGGATACAAACACCTCCTGAGTGTGGTCCGATCTCCACTGTTTGACAATTGGATTTTCCACATGCCCTCACTGCTCCTTCTTTGAATGCATCAGGTTTCGGGAAGTTGTATGAGTGTGGTTTTCTGAGAAACTCCCCTTACTATGACCTCCATTAGCCTTAGAGACATTGCTTTCTCAATGATACTTTCCACTAATGCCTGAATGTAGTCAGGGAGTGATGTCACTACGGGAAGCAGCAGTATAAGTTCCCCATGTGGAATTATTTCACAAGCAGTTCTTTGGGCAGTGGAAAGTTGTGGCACCTAAGACTCACACGTGAATCTCCAAGAATCACCTGGGGATTTGGCTAAATGTAGACTCTAATTCAGTATGTCAGGGTGGAATTTAAAAAAAATTCTCAGCAGGGATTCTAAATCTTGCTCAAAAGAGATTCAATTTTCCATCAACAACACTCATTCTGAGAAGAAACCTTTGTTGCAATGTATTTCAAGTGGTCACTTCATTAACCCATGTTATTCTGAGATCATCTAGCAAAGGAAGTAACCAGGTCACTCATTCTTACCCTTGCCTCTAACCAGAACTGTCCATTATGAAACCAGCAAGTTAGACTTAGTTCCCCGTTAAACAAGTTTCACTTTCAACCAGATGATTTGAATGCTGTCTTCCTGAAAGTCATTACTTGGTAGGCAATAACTTTTTTTTTTTTGATGTTTACCTGTGCTTTATTGATTATTGCAAAGGTTTTTTTGTTTGTTTGTTTTTAAATTTAAGGTTTTTATTGTGGATTGAGTGAAAGTTTACAGGGCACATTATCAGTTTCACATTCAACACTTCATATAACTTGTTTCATTACATTGATTATA